AAAAACTAAAAAAACTGAACTCATAGAGGCAGAGAACAGATTGGTGGTTGCCAATGGTGGGGGATGAGAGGTGGGCAAAATGGGTAAAGGGCGTCAAAAGGTACAAACTTCCAGTTATAAGATGAATAAATCCTGGGAATGTAGAGTATAGCATGGTGACTACAGTTAATAATACTGTATTGTATGTTGAAAGTTGCTAAGAGAGCAGATATTAAAAGTTTTCAACACAAGAAAAAAAAATTTGTGAGGTGACAGATGTTAAATAAACTTATTGTGAGGATCATTTCACAATATATACATATATCAAATCATTATGTTGTATACCTTAGACTAATACAATGTTATATGTTAATTATATACCCTCCCAAAAAAGTCTGGATGTCTGGACCTAAGGCCATTAATATTTTTGAGCATGAGGCAGCTGGACTTGCAGAGCTAGAGGGAAACCACAACTGAACACTCTGGACTCCATTGCATTATCCACGGTTCTTTCGTTTGGCAACTCAAAGTATCATAATGATGATAGCCCCTACTGCTAGTTGTCCTCAGTATTTTATTCTTCCTTAGTAACAAAAACTCTGATTTTTAGCTGGACACCTGTGGCCACCTTGAGTTAAGACTACATTTCTTTCAGCTTTCTTTGTAACTAGATGTGGTCATATGACTAAGTTTTAGCCAATGGATAAAATGAAATGTGACTTCTGGGAGGTGTCCTTAAAGAGAAGGGAATGCTCTCCTTTTACCCTCTTCCTCCCTGCTGGCTGGAAAACAGATGTGATGGCTAGAGCTTGAGCAGCCATCTTGGACCACGAGGTAGAAGCTGCTTATTAAGAATGACAGAGTGATACTAGAAGGAGCCTGGGCTAGAGGGGGCTACCCTAGACTTTGAATGGAGTTTGTGTACAAAAGAGAGAAATAAGCTTCCAAATTGTTTAAATTACTCTAATTATTTTTGTCATGTGTATTTTTTAGCTTTATTGAAGTGCAATTGACAAATAAGATTGTAAGATATTTAAAGTATACAGCACGATGATTTGATATATGCATACCTTGTGAAAGGATTCCTCCATTGAGTTAATTAATACATCCATCACTTCACATATTTACCTTTTTTTTTTTTGGTGAATTGTCATGTATATTTAGAATTTAAGGACTGACCTTGGTGAGGTTAACTTCTGTGGGTCAACCTCATCTGCATAATGGAACTAATAATACCTGCTTCAGCCCAGTGCTAAGTGTTACCGCAAGTTAGTCATAAATCCAGAAACAGAGCCCGCGATTCTTGGTGTCCAGGCTTCTGAGCTCAGTAGTGTGTTTGAAAAGAACTATTCTGGGTCTTAGACACAACCCACCTTTTTCTGCTGGTAGCTGTTGTTACCAGCGAAGCAAACATAAATCAAGGTAGATTTATGTTATGGAAGCACTTTTTGCCAAAGCCCCATTCAAGATTGACCTTCTTTCTGAGACATTCACTGCCCGTTAGGTCTAGAGTGGGTCCCAACTCTCTGAGTCCCCAAAACACAGTGCAGGCTTTGATCTTAAATATGGTCTCCAGGTATCTGTCTGTTCTGTGTCTTACATTAGATTGTAACCTCTCAGAGGGCAGTTTGCATCCAAAGATCCCTCATAATAATAGGCGTTGTGCTGGCCACAGGAGGAAATGCATCAAAGTGCCTGTTAAATGAATGCAAAGGTTCTGTTCTGAATATGAGACAAGGCCAGACTCCTTGGGATTATATGGAAACAGAGATATATTTGAAATGGGCGTTCCTAGCTAGTACTAAATATTTGAGGCCCTCAGGCCTCAATATGGGATACAAAGTATTATTTTTCTTCTACTGAAATATCCCCTTACAAATAGAAGTCCCACAGGACAAGGAGTATGGCTGAAACTGGACAGACCAGATGCCAGGATAGCTAGATTTATTTTTGGACTATAAGCCTGGCCTCCAGGGAAAGAAGGAACTTGTCAATTTCACTTTTTGCTTGGATCAGAAGATTGAGCCTGGCAGAGAAATGCTGTTTGGGACTAGTAGTTCTCTGGCATTTCTAACCTTTTCTGGGCTTGGGAGGAGTTGGGAGAAGAAAATGCATCATTTGAACGATGGCCACGGTTACGATAGGCCCCGCATGCCAACCAGAGGGAAAGAAAATACTTGCTGAGCAAAATAACTGGAAAGCAGTTGTTCATTTTTTTAAACTAAGCTACATGGTTGAAATCCAGAATAATGCAGACTTTTGGACCAGGGAGCACTTGGAAATAAGCTTTCTGGCTGGAAAGCAGCATGTGGTGTTATGGATGGAAAGGGCGATTGCAATGCCTTTCCCCTGGGCACTTGCTGCTGCCAGATCCTGGGGGGCCATCTCAAGACTATTTACTTACTCCAACAGATTTCTCAATAATTCCAGCCACAGAAAGGAGCTGACGAGCGTGATGGCATGCACGTGGCCAGGTGACAGAATCAGGACAAACCTGTTCCACTGCTGAGCCCGATGGTAACACTTCCATCCTGCCGAGCCCCTGGCGGGTGAACACTTAGGCGGGCACGTGGAAACTGATGTAAGTGCTGCATGAGGCCCAGCCGTACTGGACAAGTGTCACAAGTCCAGCTGGGCAGCATGCCAGATCCCATGGGCTCTTTCCAGGAAGGGCTGACCCTTGCTGTTTCCACGCCCTTCCCTGAAGCTCAGTGAAGCTCAGAGTCTCAGCTCCCTTGCAGATGCTGAAGAAATGTCCAGTGAGTGCACAGGGAAGGTCAGACCCTATGGCATCTGAGATTGGACATGGCAGTCACCCCACGACAGAGGCAGAATTAGACTCTGAAGACCTGGGCTTGAGTCTTTGCTGTCATTTACCAGCCAAATGAGGCAGGCAGGTCACAACTGCATGGAGTGTCCATTTAGTTACCTGTAAAGCTGGATCTATCTATCTGCTTCATAGGACAATTTTGAGGATAAAATGAGATGAGTCCTGCCCTCTTCATATGCTGGATGGTGATATTTCTAACTTAACCATCCTAAGGGCTTTATATACTCCATCTCTTTTGATCCTGACAACAACTCATGAGATGGCTACTATTTTTATCCCCATTTTACAGAGGGGAAAACTGGACCCCAGACAAGTGAAGTGACTTGTACAAGGTTATACCACTAGGTGGCAGACCCAGGATTTGAACCCATCCTGACTGGCTCCAGAGAGCATAAGTCTGACCACCGCACTATTTCCCAGCAGAGGAAGACAGGCAGTTCTCTTAGAGGTGTTCTTCATTTTTGTTTGGAGAACCACAAGTACTTTGTTATTGGTCCAGCATCCAGTCCCAGCTTTTTGATCTGAGGGTGCTGGGGACAGTTGAAGCCTTTCAAGCAGAGAGTGGTGCATTCAGGTTTGCTCTTTAGAAAGATGACCGGCTGCAGGGTGGAGGCTGGATGGGGCCTGCAAGGGGAGTGGGCAAAACAGAACGCAGGAGTTGGGTAGGAAGCTTGTGCACACAATCCAGGAGAGAAGCCATGAGGGAGCAGAGCTAAGCTTTGTCAGGACTCTCAGGCCCAGACAGGGAGGAGGAATTAAACACTGGCACTGCTTCCAATTCCGGTTAGACAAAAGTATCCCTCACCTTGAAGAAGTGGTCCATACCCATGGACGTAAACACTGAGGGCTGTGCTCCACATAAGAAGATAAAGCCTTGTTCTCTTAGGTTGAATGCAGCAGAGCACCTTGCTCCTTGAGGAGCTGGTGTGATGTGGCTCTGATCATTCCCAAGACAGCCCTCTGGGGACCACCCTGGGTGGAGTCCTCCAACATCCATTGGACCCTTTGCTGCACTGTCCTCTCCAAGTAGGTCGGGTACCCAAGGAGAGGTCTCCCCTCTCTCCTCTGACCCATCTCCGGGGTCTTTGCACCCACAGACTACCCCTCCCCATCGATGCTTTTTCCTCCTTCTCCCCCATCAGGAGATCAGGGCCACTCTGACCTCCTTCCCCAGGGATCCTGGGCCACAGAGAGGCTGCCCCTTGGCCCCGCAATTCGACGCAGGGAGACAGAATGCCTGCGTTCCAATCCCGGATCCACCACAGGGCCACAGGTGGGCGTGAACCCCATACCCACAGGGGCCTTTCCCATCAGGCAGATGCCCAGGGTTGCTCCACCTTGCCTCCTCCACACTTCTCCCGGGGCTGCCGCTGTAGGACCTGGGGTGTCACCTCCCGGAAGCTTCTTTGAAAAAAGTGAATGCACCCACTCCCAACTCCCAAAGCCCGTTACAGCCAGCCCCGGCGAATTCCCAGTTGTTCTTGGTGTTGATGCAGCGGGGAAGCAGATTTCTCAGTGCCTCTGCGCCCTAGTACCCTCATCTGAAAAATGGGGCTAGGAGTATTTTCCCTGCTCATTTCACTGAGCTGTTGACAACTCACGTACTCGCGCTGAAAACTATATATGCTTAAGGTATTATTATTAGCTGCGTGGACATTCTGGTATGTTCAGGCTGCTGGAGCTCTCGTAGGCTTCCTCGGACAGAAGGGCCGAGAGAAGGTTCCCCTTTATCCCGGTCTCAACCGCAGCCCACTCCCGCTGAGCCACCGAGTGTCGCTCCCCGGTGGGGCTGACCGCGAGCTGCCCCTCTTTCCTCTCTCCCATTGGCTTTCACCTGCCGGAGGGTCGGCTGCTACGGGCCTCTCGGCCCGTCACTCAGGGCCGCGGGGCTCCGCCCCGCCCCTCCCGGGGGTTTATAACGGGAATTCCCATGGCCCGGGCTCTGGCATCCAACCTGCTGCCGCCGCGGCCCGGCCGAGCGGAGCGAGCACCGCGCGCAGAGCACACGCTCGCGCTGCGCTCCCCTCCCCTCCCCTCCCGCGCGGTTCATGCCCGCGCGCTCCGCCCGCAGCCTCCGCCC